TTTATGTAAGCACGAACACAATTAAACAATATTTAAACATCACATTTGAGCAAACATATGTCAACAATATTTGAGCAGTGGTTCTACTCTTTATCAAAACAAACTTCACACTGCAGTGTTTCCAACTTCACCGCAGTTTTACCAGCAATTTCTGCTTGTTTTTCCTTAAGTATACATTTCTGCTATTATGATGGTAGCAATTGGTAAAATTTCTACAGTGTAAACCTTTGTCAGATCGTCAAACAATACACTAATGATTTGGTGTCCTTGCATTCTCTAGGAACCAGATATCACACCCCTGGTTAAGAACCACTGATTCACCAGACTGATTACCACCCAAGGCTAGAAATTCAGGTTTACACTACTATTTAATCCATAACTGGGGAGAGAAAAAAATGGATTTAAACCTGTCCTAGGTGTGTAAGTGCTAAGTGAATGCATCAGACCTTGTCGATTGCATTTCTTATGCTGATAAATGATGCTATCTACACATGTTAGTTGACAGCAAATCTTTCCATCGAAAAACTTGTTTTTAACTGTACATTCAGTCTCATTTTCAAAAGAATGCTGGTAACTTCTGCACACCCTAATAATTTCTTCTTGCATTGAAATTCAAACTTATATACATTACTTCGTAATTCCTTGTGGTGAACAGCCCCGTAGAAGCAAGCGAGCCAGAGTGGCTTGCATCTGGTGTATAGGAAAATAAGGGTAAAGTTTCTACAGTGTAAACCTTTGTCAGATCGTCAAACAATACATTTCAGTCAGTTATGTACCATGCATGATACACGCTTAGGCGATCAGGTATCTTTCGATACATGACTGACGAGGCAGATTGTTTTTCCGCAGTAGGTTGCCATTTTCTTTGCGGTTGACAAGTTGCCGTCCAAGGCTATGGAAGCCGGTCTGACCTGCTATTTACCCATAGCTGGGGGGAGAAGAAGATTCATACCTTTCCCAAGGGTATTTGCGCGTAAGTAAATATATATCAGTTAAATGTCATGCGTGATACACGCTTAGGCGATCAGGTATTTTTCGATACATGACTGACGAGGCAGATTTTATTCCCGCAATAGGTTGCCATTTCTTTCTGTGGTAGACCAGTTGTCATCCAAGGCTATAGAACCCGGTCTGTCTTGCTATTTACCCATAGATAGAGTTAGAAGAGGATACATATATTTCCCAAGAGTATTAGCGCGTAAGTGAATATCAATCAGTTAAATGCCATGCGTGATACACGCTTAGGCGATCATGTATCTTTCGATACATTACTGACGAGGTAGATTTTTTTTCAGCAGTAGGTTGCCATTTCTTTCTGCGGTAGACCAGTTGCCGTCCAAGGTTAGACAACCCGGTCTATCCTGCTATTTACAGCTGGGGGGGGGGGGAGAGGATTCATACCTTTCTCCACGGTACAGTACAGTTGTCTTAATAAACTAAACCTAATGATTTAGTATCCTTCCCCTTCTTGAACTGATATCGCACCCCCAGGGGGTAGTGAGCGCTCCTGGTTAAGAACCACTGTACTAGTTGAACAAAGGACACAAAACTGTTTTGTTTTCGCATCGAAAAGTGTTTGCATCTTTCAAACAATGTTGTTTTATTGGCCATTCGTATTCTTATGCAGTCTGAATCATATTTCAGTAAATATTCGAACGCCAATGCGTTTTGACTATAAGGTTTAACACTGATTTCTGTTCAAAAAGATTATAACGCAGGAAAACAATTTGACTTCTAGAAACTCTTTCCTGGAATGTAGAGGACCCGACTGCAATTCGAATTTGGCTTTGCGATGTTTCGCTCCGAGCCACTCTCACATCTAGGCATGAACTCATCATTCCGTGCTTGATGCTCAGAAAACATAAAATAACAAATCTAATGAGCAACCGGTCTACATCAACTATGCAATACTTTTTTTTAAGCGTTTCACCCCAAGCAAGGCAGGAAGCCACTAGGACGCAAGGGGTTACAGAAAATTTGGAGCAAGATCAGATAGGAGTGATAGAGGAAAGGATGAGGAGAAGGATAGTGGATAGATCAAGGCAACTGGAGATGTCGATTGGCATTACATTTGAATAGTTGGAGATTATAGCTCTCAGGGAATAGGGAAGGGAGTTCCACAGGCGAGAGGTGCGAGACATGAGGCCATTGCAATAGAAGAGACGGCTACATTTAGTAGTTTCTACAGTGAAAGGGTGAGAGCGGGATGCCAGCCTCGTAGGGCGCTTGAATTCATGAAGTCTGGGAACCAGCGAATGCAGCTCCTCGGAGCAATTACCATGAAAGTATTTGTAAAAGACAGAGAGAGGCGACGGCGCGTCTGTGAGAGAGCGACTGTAGACGAGATGCCAGATCAGGGCCAATTACATTGCATATCCGCCTCTGGATCTTATCAAGAACCCCGAGGCAAACAGAAGGGGCTACAGACTATATATGGCAGCAACACTCTATGCAAGGGCGAATTGTTGATTTGTAGATCTGAAGGATTCCGGGGAGAAAAATATCCTGGCACGGCACAGGGAGCCAACTTTCCTTGCGGTGGACGAAGCAATTGACTCATTGTATTTGTTCCATCTCAGGTCAATAGTCAACGTGAGACTGAGCAGCCGCAGAGAGGTGCTCTCGAGAAGTTGAGCGTCAGACATTCTAATGAGGAGCAGGGAAGGATCTCTGTGGTGATTAATAGAGAGCAGTTTTGTTTTTACTTTCTAGACTATTCTGAATTGATAAAAAAGTAGTTATTTCTTCATAGCTGTTGGTGAGGTCCATTTTTTTCATAAGGTCATATTAGCCATCCTAGAAAAATTTGACGAAAATTCATATATTTATTTTTAATTAAGAGTTTGAAATTGAATGACAAGACTGAGAACAGGGAGGATTGAGAAAAGAACAAAGCTGAACCGGATTTTTAATTCTTAAAATATTTCTTAAAAATGTCTTTAAAATGTTCTTAAAATACCTTCTTGAATATTTCTTAAAAATTTCTTAAAACATGTTCTTAAATATATGTTCTTTAAATATGTTTGAAAACAGAGTTCTTAAAATATGTCTTTCTTGAAATGTTGAAAGGATGTTCTTGAAATATGTCTAAAAATATGTTCTTAAAAATGTCAGAAAACTGTTCCTAAAATGTCTTAAAACAATGCTCTTGGAATAATGTCTAAAAATATCTTCCAATATGTTCTTAAAAATGTCTGAAAACAGTTTTCTTAAAATATGTCTTAAAATGTCGTAAAGCAATGTTCTTAAAAATGACTTTAAAATGTCTTAAATATGTTAAAATATGTCTTAAAATATTTCAAAGTACGTTCTTAAAGGATGTCTTCAAAATGTTTTAAAATATGTTCTTAAAATATGTCTTAAAATGTCTGAAAGCAATGTTCTTAAAACATATCTTAAAACAATGTTCTTGAAATATGTCTAAAAATATCTTCAAATATGTTCTTAAAAAATGTCAGAAAACATGGTTCTTAAAACATGATTTAAAATGTCTTAAAACAATGTTCTTAAATTATGTTCTAAATATATGTCTTAAAAATATCTTAAATCTGTTCTTAAAATATCTCTTAAAAATGTCTTAAAATATGTTTTTAATATATGTCGTAAAATGCCATAAAACAATGTTCTTAAAATGTCTTAGAAATACCTTAAAATACATTTTAAAATATGTCTTAAAATGTAAAAGAAATTTGGTTTCTCTGAGTTAAGAACCGGTGAGGTGGGATTCTTAACCAATTCAGAGAATGAAAATGAGACCGTTCGCCTGAATTCTTAAAGATTGGAACTACAGAAGATTTCCAAAGAATAAACCAAGAATCCATAAGGCATTTCTTGTAGAGGTTTTTTCTTTGTACTAATGTTATTACGAGATAGGTAATAAAAAAAGATTGCTTGAATAAGTGTACGAAGAAAAGAGTAGCCGAAACGTTGTGTACCTGCATATACATGACTGTTTATACTGTATGACCAAATCGGTAATGGCGCCGTCCATGTTAAATGGACTTTCAGAAATGTGGAAGGCAAGAGAGAGTATCATTGGTATTGATTTGCAAGTCACACTGCTTTCTTTACTAACAAGGAAATATTGCATTTTAAAGAAAGTTATACCTTGTGCTAGACAAATGAAGAGTCTGAAATATAGTAAGATATTGCTTGGGCACCTCGAGACGGTATAATGGTTAGCAAGCTTGTCTCGCTAGAACAATTACGACATAATAGTGAATTCGATCCTCACTGGGAGCCACGTACTTCCGGCCTTGTGTTACATCTAAGCTACGCTTGGAAAATCTCTTCCATGAGCACCTCAAGGTGGTGTAATGATTAGCAAGCTTGTCTCGCTAGAACAATTACGACTGAATAGTGAATTCGATCCTCACTGGGCGCCCCATACTTTCGGCCTTGTGCGACATCTAAACTACGCTTCGAAAATCACTGCTTGGGCACCTCGAGGCGGTATAATGGTTAGCAAGCTTGTCTCGCTAGAAGAATTACGACTGAATAGTGAGTTCTATCCTCAGTGGGTGCCCCATACTTTCGGCCTTGTGCCATATCCAAGCTACGCTTGGAAAATCACTATAGCAAGATATTGCTTCATTCGGTTATTTTAATTTGAAACAGGTCATTGCTGTGAGAAGATATCCGGATTTTAGAGAAAGTTCTTTTTGAAACATTAGGAAACATGGACAAAATTTGGATGAAAATTCATCAATCCTAAAAAAAAGAATCCTAAAAAAAAAAAAAAAAAAAAAAGGGTAACGTGTAACAAGGGGCAGAAAGCGAAGAGAGAGACAAAGGAGGGAGAAAGTGAAGGCGAAGGAGAGTGAAGTATAGAGAGAAAAGGAAAGAGAGTGAGAGAAAAAAAGACGTAGATAGAAGGGTAAGGAAAATGATGGGGGGAGAGATAAGAGAGAATGAGTGAGAGACAAGGATAGAAAAAATGTGAGAAATAGACGGAAAGTTAGGTAAAGAGAGCTAGAGAAATAGATAAAATGAAAAAGACGTTATGTTTGGGAAGAGAGAGAGAGAGAGGAAAGTGAGATATAAGGAAAGAAAGAAGGAAAGAAATGGAAGGATTGACAGAAAAGGAGAGAGAGATGAAAAGAAAAAGCGGAAAGAGAATTTTTAAAAGAGAGAAAGATAGATGAGCTGTGATAGGGAAGGAGAGAAAAAGGAATAAGGAGAGAAAGAGGTGAGAAAAGGAAAGGGGAAAATGGAGAGTAAAGGTGAGGGTGGGAAAGTGAAAGAGAGTTATTTAAAGAGAGAGGTGGAGAAGAGAAAGTAGGTATGATAAGTAAGGAAAGAGATAGATAGAGAGAGAGAGAGAGAAAGGAATGGGACATATGAGAGAAAGTGACAAGAAAGATAGTGAAGGATGGAGAGAAAAAAGGAGAGTAGAAGAGACAGCGTAAAGAGAGGAGAGAAGAGAGAAGGAAAGAGAAAGAAGGAGAAGGAAATATAAAAGGAGAGAGAAACAAAAGGGGGGATATAAGGAGAGAAAGAGAAAAGAAGGAGGAAAAGGAAAGGATAGAAAGAAAGGCGAATGAGGAAAAGAGAGAAAGCGAAAGAAAGAGGGAAGAGAGGAAGCGAGAGACGAAAAAGGAAAAGAGAGGGTTTGGTTTCTTTTGGTTTAGTTTTTTTAATGGCATATCAACACTTTATGGGTCATTTAATGTCGAAATTTAATTTTCTTGGGAGCTTTGGTATTTGTTCTTAAAAATGTACTGTTGGTATTTTTTTTACTATGAATATGGCTGGTATTCTTACTACGAAAATATATTTTATACTTTCATAATGTTTTGACCCCAGTTTGAAGGATTCACCATTTACCCATAGCTGGGACCCTAACAGGTGTTACTACCCCAGGTTAGAGTGGCCCTGGGAACAACAGTAATAAGGAGGTGGTACCCACTCCTCAAAACCTCTCAATCAGAGGCCTTGCCACCGGATGTAGCTTATCGTCAGACCCAGAAACGATAAAGCGAAAGGAAAGGAGATATCAGATAAAAGAGAAATAGAATGAGAAAAAGATGAAGGGAGAAATAACTGAAGAGAAAGAGAGATAGATAGATAGAGAGAGAGGGAGAGAGAGACAGACACAGAGAGAGAAAGATAGATAGATAGATAGAGAGAGAGAGAGATAACGTGAGCGAAAGAGCGAGAAAGACTCGATTGATTCTCAGAGAAGTAGACAAGATTCCACCCACTTTGCTCGCCTTTCCACAGACACTTTTCTTAATCTTCTTCTAATCACTAATGTCCACCGTCTTTTTCAAACGTTTCCTGATCGATTAGCGACTGTTTTGTTTTGTCAACGGATCGATAGTCGCCACACCACCACCACTACCACCCTGTAGTTCGACCAGTTGATGATCGTCAGTCAATAAGATGATTTCCACAGATCAAACAACCCACAAAACAATATTTCTCTTTTCTATTCATAGATCAATATTTCAATTACCTTAGGATCAATATAATCTATTGCCTTTCAGATTAATCTGGCCAGCAATATCGAACGGTTTTTGTATGTAATAAGATGTTTCTTATTTATTTCATGACTTTCTGGCGTTTTATATTTTGATTTTTCTTCTTAAATAGTTATTTCATTATTGCAAAATAATATTGCAAATTTTAAACTGACTGCTAAGTAGGATGAACTGAAAATTTGACCGTCCTGGGTATGAAGATAAACTACAGCCGCGTCCTGGGTAACACGATAAACTACATCCGCGTCCTGGGTAACACGATAAATTACATCCGCGTCCTGGGTAAGACGATAAACTACAGCCGTGTCTTGGGTAAGACGATAAACTACATCCGAGTCCTGGGTAAGACGATAAACTACATCCGCGTCCTGAGTAAGACGATAAACTACATCCGAGTCCTGGGTAAGACGATAAACTACATCCGCGTCCTGGGTAAGACGATAAACTACATCCGAGTCCTGTGTAAGTCGACGAACTACATCCGAGTCCTGGGTATGACTATAAACTACATCCGCGTTCTGGGTAAGACGATAAACTATATCTGCGTCCTGAGTAAGACGATAAACTACATCCAACAGCAAGGCCTCTGATCAGGAGGTTTTGAGGAGTGTGGAACCACTTCTTAATTGCTAATGTTCCCAGGTCCACCCTGACCCAGGTACCTGTTAGGATCCCAGCTCTGTGCAAATAGTTAACCTACAAAATGGTGTCAAAATACTAAGAAATTGTAAAAATAGATGGACAAAGGAGAACGACGCACAGCCTACCTAGTAAGATTGTGTAAATGGATGGCAGGACAAAGTTTATGGGAGGTAACAAAATTAGAAAATTTATAAAGAGCTATATAGGTCAGGAAAGTTGTGGAGGAACATGATCGCGAATGTCCTGAATGGAAATGAAACGTAGAAGTTGTAAATGTATGATGCTGAAAAAATGGTCAAATATTGTTATAACTGCTCTTATAACGAAATAATCAAGATGAAGATCAAATACTGTTATTATTTAAATCTTTATTTTGGGTAATACCGACATGTAACCAGCGGACGGGAGAAGACTGAATAGAGCCGTGGTTTACACGTGCGTTTATATGTCCGCCATTATTCTTACCCTCCCACCACGCAAAATTCCCCGATCAAGGCCGATAACTCTGTACGATTATCTCCCTTAGTAGGCTCCGCTATAACAATATCTTATACGGTTCTAGAAAGTATCTGACTCTTCCTGTCAAGCACTATAGAGTATTGTCGCTATATCAGGGCTGAAGTTGTCCAATGCTTTTTTTGCGCCCTTGACACCGTTTATACAGCTTTGTAGGCCACGACAACCTCTCTCCCACAGATGCAACATTGTAAGCCTCTCACGGAACTACAATTATTTCTACCGTAAATGTCTTGATGGGCTACATTGCCTAATTTCACCAATTAAAACCATTCCTTACAATTGTAATTCTGCAGAAAGATGCTAAGAATACCATGAAGCAAACCTGAGCAATGACGAAATTTTAGAGAAACTAGCAACAAAAAAGGCACTTATACTTAAGATCAGGAAGAGACAGTTGAAATTTCAAGGACACATAATGAGAAAAAGGGGCTTGGAAATGTTGATACTCACAGGACAGATAGAAGGCAAGAGAGACAGGGAAATTTGAAGGTTTAGGAGAGATAAGAAAAATACAAAATTGAAAAAGAGCTACAAAGGACAGGGAATTGTGGAGAACCAAGATCATTTACGCTCTGAGTGGGGGCGGCACATAGAAAAAAAAATAACAACCAGGATTCCCTACGCCCTGAGGGAATGCAGCACATAGCAGAAAAGAACCGGAATCTGCCTTAGTCGGGTATTGAACTCACACTCTTTGGGTCCTGTCACTGGATCTAACTACCGCCTTTATCCACTGTGCCATGTGTTCTCAAGGAAGAAGGCCGGAGCGCACAATGGCCGAAACGTTGTAATAAATATGGCGACAAAGATGAGGACACATGGCACAGTGGATAAAGGCGTTGGTTAGACCCAGTGACAGGACCCAAAGAGTGTGAGTTCAATACACGGTTACGGCAGTGGAGAACTTGGAGGGGGGAAATAACAGGAGATAATTGATAACTGACATCCATTAAACATAGCATGTGGAACTAGAACAATCTACCTCAGTGAGCGAAATAAAGGGTTCAGTTCGACATTCCAACTACCTGAAGAAGACCGAAGCGTACAATGACCGAAACGTTGTAATAAATATGGTGACAAAGAGGAGGACAATAGTCCGAATAATGTAAATAATGTACATAATACCTCATCTCAGAAATATAGACAGATACTGAAAGGCCGAAACGTTGTAAAAAATATGGTGACAAAGATGAGGACAACAGTCCGAATAATGTAAATAATGTACATAATACCTCATCTCAGAAATATAGACATATACTGAAAGGCCGAAACGTTGTAATAAATATGGCGACAAAGATAAGGACAATAGTCCGAATAATGTAAATAATGTACATAATACCTCATCTTAGAAATATAGGCAGATACTGAAAGGCCGAAACGTTGTAATAAGTATGGCGACAAAGATGAGGACAATAGTCCGAATAATGTAAATAATGTACATAATACCTCATCTCAGAAATATAGACACAATATAAGGACTATGTAAAAAAAAGGATAAGGGTGAAAGGAAAGATCATGCATTTAATATATAAATCTGAAAATTTTAATTACAGTTCACACAAAGTACGTATTAAAGAAAAAAAGAAGTCAGCAACAAAAATTTCAACGGCTTGTGTCGTCCTTTTCCAGAAATATCTCCTGCAAAATAGAAGAGATCTCTGCTGTTTTGTTGAAATTGTGCTTCTTATGAAGTTGCGGACGACAGTTTTGAACAGTAGAGATAAGTAAGCGAAAAAAAAGGGTCGACTTCGCGGCTTTTCCTTCTATAAGCATCCTTAAAGTGGTTGACCTCCCGTCTTTCTGAAACACCCTGTCTTAACACTGCTCACTAGTTGAGAGAGAGAGAGAGAGAGAGAGAGAGAGAGAGAGAGAGGGGTGGTAACCATTAGCTTCCCTCAAATTTCTCCGAAAGTAATTTTTCTCGTCAGGTGAAAGATTTATCATTCAATCAAACTGAGTCCTATAAAACTGAAGTTGAGTTTTTTTTTTTTTAATATAGATTTAGATTTCGTTCCGCTCCTTCAATTGAGAAATCGGAGAGAAGGGTTCGAATTCCAGCAAGTCACATTCACTTACGCGCAAATATCCTTGGGAAAGGTATGAATCCATCTCTTCTCTCCAGCTATGGAAAAATAGCAGGATAGACTGGAACCTATAGAATTGGTTGGCAACCAGTATAAAAGAAAGAAAATTCTGAATCTAAACCAAGCTGGAGAGGGTTGGCAAAATGGCGGATGAACTTATAACAGCCAACGGCCAACATACAACTAAGAGACGGTAAACTACTATTTAGAATAGAGTAATAGTGAGTTTAGCACATGGGCGCGTGGATAGAACATTCGCTTTCTAAGACCTGGGTTCGAATCTTGCCACAGTTGATTTGTCAGAAAGGAGACTTCCTGACGTTTTCGGTCTGGAGGCGGACAATCCCAGCGTGCGTGAAAACCATACCACGGGTCGACCCAAGCTTTGTAAGTGAAATTGAGAGCAGTCGATAGCTGGCACGACGTCACAAGTCATCGCTGTTCAGAGTGTGTTGATCATGCTAGATAACACGCTCTCTTTGAAACTGTTACTAAGTTCTGCTCAGCACAGTTGCAGTATAAACCACAGCTGGGCTCTGTGGGTGATGGACCTACACAAATGTGCCTGAGCGAGCGTCTACAATAGGGATTGGCTAGCCACCCTAGTTGACGAAATTTCAGTCGAGTTCATTACATTTCTTTACCCTTGGGAAATTTATGAATCCATGTCCACACAAACCATTGGTTAAATGGTTGGATTTGTGTCTGGAAAATCATTGTTGTTCTCAAAAAAATGTTAATATAATATTCACTTACAAAAAATAAATAAATAAATAAATAACAGAATTGTTTTTACAACCCAAAATATGTTACGGCATTGAATAAGCCGTAAACAATAAAATTAATCAACCAACTTGATCCTCCTTTTACAGATTTCGCTGTATTACGAGATTGGGAATACAAACCGTTAGTTTTGGACGCGAATAACTGGCGTCTATTTTCTTCCAATTTGCAATGGTTCCATTTTCCTCAGAATATGTTGTAACCTAGAGAAGGTTACTGAATAGAATAATCACACTAAGTTTTGTAATAAACGATAATACTTAGGACAAGAACAACACATATAAGATTCGCCAGCGGCGCGAAGAAATAATAGTCAACTGCTAGAATTGAGTCAAGTGAGTTCCACAATGAATCTCTAACTGCAGGATATCTACCAACCGCCCCTCGCGGTCAGATGTAGCACAAGGCCGAATTTAATGTGGGGTATCCGAGCCCGTAGGCTCAGTCAAAAATTCCCCGTAGACTCCGTATAAAACGGGGTCGGGTAGCTGTTTCCCGAGACGAGACTCTGCCCTTCGACATAACCTCGTCTGGAGATCCTCTCTGTCCGGAGGCAGAGAGTTTGACCAGCACGGCTGGAGACGAATCTCTAACTGCAGACCAACATACAGTATTTACTACTGTATTTATGCGAATGGAGACATACCCATTATCGTCCGTAGGTATGCTACAACAGAATAAAAATTATGAGAGTTTTTTAATGTTCTATTTAAAACAAATATTCTACATAGATTACATTTATTTGAATTTTCCCTTTTTTTTTAAAAAGTAAACCCGTATTCTTTTATGGATAAGAATATACATGGTAAGGTAAAAGTCGCCCACCACTGAGGTTAATGAAGAAGTAGAAGTTCTATTGAGGGGCCACCGGGTTCGTCAGATCTCACATACTTGGATTTTTTCTGTGGGGGCCATTTTGAAATCAATTGTTTATCAGACCCACCCAAGAAATATTGAGGAACTTCAAGAAAGAATTGAATATGAATGCAATAAAATGACAGAGGAAACTGTCCGACATGTTAACGAATCATGCAGACATAGAATTGAAATGTGTCTTGAAAAAGGAGCAGGACATTTTGAACAGCACATATAACAATTAAATAACTACTAAATCAAAGGTCCATGCGTAATTATATTTTTAATAAATTATCCCGATGGTGTTCGACTTTTGCCTCACTCTCACTGTATAAAGACACGTAACTTCCGTGTATCTTTTCTATAAATCATTCTGATGGCACCTGGTGGTCTATGGTATCTAGATTTATGAATTTAAGCGTGGTACTAGATTGGCGGTGAGGTCACATCATTTTACAGTTATGGTTACTAGATGTAACCGTAAGTTCTATGCTAATAGCTTCTTCTCTCACACTTCTCCACTTCAGGCTTCTTGCTTTCCAGTCAAATTTGAGCTTCAAAACTTTAAATGCAATTTCAATCGTTATCTTTTGCCTTCTTAATTCATATTACTTTATTGTTATCTCTCTTTAATAGTTTTATTTTTCTCATATTCTCTCGGACGGATTAATACATTGCGTGTCAGTGGCCTTATTGCCTTGCTTGGGGTAAATTATTTAATTGGTTTAGGATTAAATTTTCCGGAAACTTAAGATCGAATCCAATATCTCACGACTTCGTCTCCAATCAAGTCACACAGCTGACATCTTTTCTCGATAAGGATATAAAGTTTCGGGTAGCAAATTGGAATTAAGATTTTATCTGGATCTTAAACAATGGTCAACACAAGTAAATGGGTTTATATCTTTGTGAAAGGATACCTCTTCTGGGAAATGGTGTGATGACCTCGTGACATTTTACGTGAAGCCATTTCGTGTCAAAGCGATAATCTGGCTAATTTTTTAAATATTTTTTGAGACTATTTTTTTCTTCTTTCGGCCGATTCTGGAACAGCTAACAACTCTCAACTTACATTTGTATAATGATGTTCCAACTTAACGACTTCATGTCCAGAGAATGTGTCGATATGGCCACAGTGAACGATTTTGGAAATGATCGTGCTTTGACCAACGTGGATAAGTCGTTACAGCAGAGGTTTTGGCGGTCAAGCGGTTTACAACTCCATTTTAAGTACAGTACTCAGTTACTTAAGGTTTATTATTTAAAATTCACCAGTTAGAAGTAAACAAAGTTAGAAGGATAATTTTTTATATAGGTTATATAAATGTTATAGGTTTCTGTATTTTTATAGAGTTTGATAGATATGATAGATATATGAATAACATAATAAAAACCAAGATAAGTATGAACATAAATATATGATAGATACGAATATATATATATATATATATATATATATATATATATATATATATATATATATATATATATTATAAATTAATTGATTTAAAATATATTTTTTTTTTCGCTACACAGTTCTAACCATGTTTCAAAATGGAAACTAAAAGCTCTGAATTTAATTTTGTAATTATTTTAAAAAATAAAAACTATTTATTTATTATTTATTTTTGTAACTATTTTGTAAAAATAAATATATCTATAATCACCGGATTATATATCTTACTGTTCTTTCTTTTTATATATATATATATATATATATATATATATATATATACGAATATATGTATATATATACAGAAATATATGACAAATACGAATATATATATATATATATATATATATATATATATATATATATATATATATATTATGTATATATAGGCAGCAATTTTTCATAAACATGAAAAACAATAAACAAAAACTAAAAATTCTTGAAGCTATATAAATAAAACAGTTAAAACTTATTGAAAAGTAATTGTCATCTTTGATATTGGCTTATGTAAGCCGAAAGCTTAGATTGGATTTGAACATGTATCAATATGGTGATTTCATTTCGTCTTTCAATGATAATATTATTAAGTTTACCAGACAATATGAAAGGAACTTATATATATATATATATATATATATATATATATATATATATGCAATCAAAGACGAAATTATTCGTACATCTATCAATTTCTCATGATCTAATGCCAGTTTTTTTATATGTTAATAAGCAGAAAACATAAATAGAAACCTCAATTTTCAGAAAAATAAGTGAAATACTACAAATTTGACAGGCGAATTATGCAAAATAGGAAAAGACAAAATTATTCGTACAGTAAAAAATATCGTTTTAAATTGATTGATTCGTGTTAAGTATAAATAATTTACGTAATTATTTTATCAGGTGGAGCCTTCTAGACAAGTTGTTCAATGGAATATTTGGGATAATTCCAGCAAAGAACATCACTTAGTTCATAGAGTGTGACCATTGTTATTCTTACGTTAACAATATGATGGGGAAGACAAAGGAATTTATCGTTGACTTCAGACAGAGAATTATTAACTTCTACAAGTCGGTAAATAATTATAGCAATATTTCAATCCGGCTAGTTCTCCCTAGATCTATGGTAGAGTCCGTTATAAAGACATTTAAACAGTTTGGTAAGACAGAATTTGCCTGGGCATGTAAAAAAAATCCAAATTGTCACCGAGAACTGCACGATAACTATCAGTTGAGTCACCATTATTGACAATAAGAAAGCCTCACTATGAAATTAATTATTTTATTAATCTATATGATTATGAGTGAAAAACAATAAATATCTGTACCCAAGATCTAGTCCCAGTAAGGTCTTGGTGAGTCGTCAATAGAATATGATATTTTTCTTGTATTACAAGTTCTTGGAATATTCTTGGAATACGGTAAGACAATCTCTGTAGAACCTTATTGTCAAGAACGAAAGAAATGGAGTTTAAAAAAAAGGAAAATGTATATATATATTTTTTGTTATTGTCAATAACAAAAAAAAATGTCAAGCAGTCTAAAGAATGACATCTAAAGACGGACTTACTGTGTGGATAACAGCGTTTTGTACACTAAGAGACAGTGTACAAAACAAAAGCAAGAATGGAAAAAAAAAACATAAAAATAATGCTACCTGAAAGCGTTTTGGATGCGTTGGTGGTGTAGTGGATTGCGGTTCGCAATCAGCGAGCAGAATTTTAATTCATTCACTTTTGCACAAATACCCTTCGCAAAGATATAAATCCATCACTTTTCTCTTCACCAAGCTGTAGGTTAAATAAAAGAGAGACAGGAAAGAAAGAAAAAGGGATACAATAAGTAATTTCAAAGAATGACCTTTTAAGACTGACTCTGTAAAATGGGATCAGAAAAAAATCGAATTTTTAGGTTGATATACTTTACTATAACTTCCCAATTGCTTACGGCCACATCCTGTTGAAACACTGGTTTCTGTACGACCAGCGAAATTAAACAAAGTCGGGCCTGGTTAGTATACCAAGTGCTGTAAGCTTGGATGTGCGAGTGGTGTAAGGATAAAGGTTGAGTTCGTTATATCCATTTACACGCAAATACCTTTGAGGAAAGTACTAATCCACCTCATCTCCCTCTAGATATAGGTTAACTAATTAGACTTGTAGCAATAAACCATTATGATGTTTAAAAAAAATCTTAGAATCTTAAAATATTTTCTGGGTTTAAATAACCTGAAAAAGATTGATAAGTCGTAGAAAACGTATCAACCAATCAAATCACACCTTGTGAACTGACCCTGTTTATCATCTGTTTATCATATGCTTATTATCTGTTTATCGTCTGCTTTAAATAAGATTATTCATATTGTAACATTTTTTCAACACCTTTAACATTAGAGACCCGTTCCATATTCTCAGCATTGTTTCCATCCAGAAACCAAAATTCGTTCCCTAAATAAGAACAGAATAAATTTATTAGCTGTCTTTTGCCATTGCTAATAATGTCGATTATGTTCTTGAAAAGTGAATTTAACATTTATTACGTTTGAAAGGGATTCTGTTCTCCGTCTCCAAACATGCCACATTACATGCCAACCAACCAAACGCATATAGACAAAGAAATAAGGAAAAGGAAGAAAATAGAGAGAGAAGGAAATAAAATAAAGCGGTGGGAAAGGAAGGGGTGGACAGAAAGAAAGAAATAAATGGAAGGGTGGGGATAAAGAAGGATGAAAAAGAAAACGGGGAAGAAAATAAGAGGAAAGAAAAAGGAAAGATAGAAAAAAGAAAGGGAGAGAGATGGAAGGAAAGAAGAAAGAGAAAGGACATCAAAATGAAAAGAACGAAAAGAGAGAGAAGGAAGAAAAATTGGAAAGATAAATGCAAGTAGAAAAATGAAGGAAATAAAAGAACGAAAGGAAAGAAAAGAGAGAGACGGAATGAAAGAAGAAAAGAAGGAAAAACTGTGGAGGGAAGGAAGAAACGAAAGGAGAAGGCGGGGTGAACGGAAAGATTTAAAAAAAAAAAGGTGGTATAAAAAAGAAAACGAAAGTCGGAAGGGAGGAAAGAAGAAAGAAAGGAAGAAAATGGAATGAAGTGGGAAAAAGATAAAATGGGAGATAGGGAGGAAAAGGGACAGAAAAAAAACGGCAGGAAGGAAGGAAGGAAGGAAGGAAGGAAGGAAAGAAGGAAGGAAGGAAGGAAATGGAATGAAGGGCGTAAAGAGAGAAAAGTGAAAGAGAGAAAAGAAAAGATAGGGAGGAAAAGAAAAGGAGAAAAAAGGAAGAAGGAAGGCAAGAAGGAAGGAAATGCAATGAAGGGACAAAAGAGAGAAAACAGGAGATAGGAAGGAAGGAAGGAAGGAAGGAAGGAAGGAAGGAAGGAAGGAAAAAGGAAGGAAATAGAATGAAGAAAGAAAAGGGGAGATAAGAAAGAAAATGAAAGGAGAGAAAAGGAATGATGGTCGGAAAGAGAGAAAAGCGGGGAGATAGGAAGGAAATAGAAAAGGAGAAAAACGGAAGGAAGGAAGGAAGGAAGGAAGGAAGGAAGGAAGGAAAAAGAATTGATGGAAAAATGGCTGAATGCAAGGGTGAAAGAAAACAGAAAGAAATCTAGAGAGGAAGAAAAATACAATGAAACGGAAGGAAGGAAGGAAGGAAGGAAGGAAGGGAGGAAGGGGGGAGATAGAGAGAGAGAGAGAGTGGAAGGAAAGGAAAGTAGTAACAAATGAAGGCAAAGAAGAAAGTCAAAGAAGCGGTGCAAGTAAAGGAAAGGGGAAAAATAATCTATATATAAATAAATATTCTGTCTGTCTGTCTGTCTGTCTGGTCTTGGTCGGGGTCGCTAGCTCCGAAGTCAAGACACTCATGCTTTGTACGTTTAATACCTCTGAGAATATTTCCCGTCCCGCTGTAAAATTCGAGATGTCGTTCTTGTAAAGTGCGAATATTTAAAAGGACAAAGGCAACATGTCAGCAATTGCGGTGAGAAGGCAAGATTCGTTTTTCCCACTTCAGTCAACACAAAAATAGACCCCCTGTTCATTTCTTATCTCAGCATCTTCAACTTATTTTCACGCATTTTTCTTTTTTTCTTTCAACTCCATTTATGTGGTTTTTCTTTATATGTTTTTTTTTTTATTTTTTTAATTGACTTTCTTTTCACCCAATTTTTATCACCTTACCATTTCTAATTCTTTCACCTCAACTACTTTTTTTTTCTTTTCTTTTTACTCGATTACTTTCTTTTTTTCTCTCTTTCCTTTTCATCTCACTTTCTTTCCCGATTTTCTTTTTTTTTTCTTTCATTTTCGTATTTCATTTCTTTTCTTTTTCATCGCTCTCACACTTGTCTTTCTTTTTTACCAATCTCCTTTCTTTTTTTATGTTTTTTGTCGGCCTTTCTTTATCCTTTTTTATTTTACCATTCTTTTCCTTTCCCTTTCTTTCTTTTTCGTCTTTCTTTCTTTCTTTTTTACTCTTTTGTCTTTTATAGTTTCTTTCTTTCTTCTTTTTCTTTTTCTTTTCTTTTCATCTCTCTTTCTTTGTCCTTTCCTTTTGTCTCACTTTCTTTTTCATTATCTTTTTCCTCACTTTTCGTTCCAATTTTTTCTTCGCTTTTCGTTCTTTTTACTTTCCTTTACGTCTCCCTTATTTTGCTTCTTTATTTTTGGCGCGAGGGGATTTCATCATTATTTTTATTTGCAGTTTCTTCCATTTGCTTTTCTTTTTCTTTTTTATTATTCTTTCTTTCTTTCTTTCTTTCTGCTTTTGTTTGTTTGTTTCTTTCTTTCTGTCTTTCTTTCTGCTTTTTTTGTTTGTTTGTTTGTTTTTTTGTTTCTTTTTTCTTTTTCTTTCTTTTCTTTTGTTTTTTGTTTCTTTCTTTCTTTCTTTCTGTCTTTCTTTCTGCTTTTGTTTGTTTGTTTGTTTGTTTGTTTTTTTGTTTCTTTCTTTACTTCTGTCTTTGTCAAAAAATTTTTCTTCATTTATTTATTAATTTTTCTATTCTTTATCAGCTAATTGTTCTTTCTTTCTTCCTTCCTTTCTTCCTTCCTTTCTTCCTTCCTTTCTTTCTTTCTTTCTTTCTTTCTTTCTTTCTGTCTTTCTTTCTGCTTTTGTTTGTTTGTTTGTTTCTTTCTTTCTTTCTTTCTTTACTTCTGTCTTTGTCAAAAAATTTTTCTTCATTTATTTATTAACTTTTCTATTCTTTATCAGTTAATTGTTCTTTCTTTCTTTCTTCCTTTCTTCCTTCCTTTCTTTCTTTCTTTCTTTCTTTCTTTCTTTCTTCCTTCCTTTCTGTCTTTCTTTCTGCTTTTTGTTTTTTTGTTTGTTTCTTTCTTTCTTTTCTTTCTTTCTTTTCTTTTCAAAAATTTTTCTTCATTTATTTTTCTTTTTCTATTCTTTATCAGTTAATTTTCTTTCTTTCTTTCTTCCTTTCTTCCTTTCTTTTCTTTCTTTTCTTTCTTTCTTTTCTTTCTTTCTTTCTTTCTTTTCTTTCTTTCTTTCTTCCTTCCTTTCTTTCTTTCTTTCTTCCTTTCTTTCTTTTTCTTTCTTTCTTTCTTTCTTTCTTTCTTTCTTTCTTTCTTTCTTTCTTTCTTTCTTTCTTTCTTTCTTTCTTTCTTTCTTTCTTTCTTTCTTTCTTTCTTTCTTTTACTCCTTTGTCTTTTTTATTTTCTTCCTTCCTATTTCCGTTTCTTTTTGTTTAATTTTGAATCATTCCTTCTTTTTCGGGGGTGGGGAGGGGCTTATTTTTTCCCTTTCATTAATTCTTTTTACTTTTTCGGTTACTTTTTCTCTTTCTTTAGTCCGTTCTTTATTTCTTTCATTCTTCGGCATTTTCTTTCAAATTTTTGCTTCTGTAATATTTTTTCACTCTTACTTCTCAAATTTAATTTCTCTTTCATTCATTTATTCATTCATTTTTTCTTTCTTTCTTTCATTTTCTTTCTTTCTTGTAGTTTTTATAACACTGCCAGTCATTCTACACTCACTACTTCCTTTTCTCTTTCTTCAACAGCCTAGCTTTTTTTTTAACCCCTGCTCACCTTCCTGGCCTCCCCCTCTTCGTACGTCTCACTGCTTTCTTTTTTATACGTTTCCTCCCTTCATTCCGTATTTTTCCCCTTCTGTTATTCGACCCATCTCTTATCAACATTTTCATCAATTTCTTCCGATATCCAAGTCGTTTTATTTCCCGTCCACGGCCCTTACCGGTTCTCGCGTTATTTTCTTTAAGCAAGAGGAAGAAACTAACTGTCAGTCAGATTCTGAACTGGCTGGCGGGAAGAAAGGCCGACCTATCTTATCTCACTCAAAGAAGAATACTAGAATATAATAAGTTTTTCTTCCGTTTCCTTTCAAGAAGAAGAAGAAGAAGAAGAAGAAGAAGAAGAAGAAGAAGAAAAAAGACACATATTTCTATGTAAATGCAAATGTTAGCTATTTACGTATATCCAAGACTGCACCTGTACTCTCTGTTCAAACTCAAAGAACAAAAAAACTGATTTTTAAATTCGTATTTACAAGGTGGGTAAAAATATCCCACAAATATCTTCCTTTTTATCATTATCTCTCATTTGACGAAGCTGATATTAATAATCAATCTATCCCCCACTCCCCCCCTCTCTCTCTAAGTTTCATTAAAGACAAGGTATTGCGATTAAACTTTTTATTCAATTTTTGTTGCATTGTATGTTCTTTGTATGTATGCATGTTGATTTGTCAGGATTTGACTTCCTGGTGTTATCGGAATGGATAGAGGTCGATCCCAGCATGTGGCACCTTTGGAAAGTTCCTGAAAATCATAGCACCGGTTGAACCAAGCCTTGTGAGTGAAATTGGGTAGGCGAAACCCTTAGGGGCCATCGATAGCTGTACTAGCACAAAGTCATAAGTCATTGTGGCCGAGGGCTTGAGCGTGCTGGCCTTGTTCTCTCTGTCTCAATCTCTTTACTTCTCTCTCTCTCACTCTCTCTCTCCCTCCCTCTCACTCTTTCTCTCTCTCTCTCTCTATATATATATATATATAATTGTTATACCTGACGTACCTATTCCATTATTAATAGACTCTCCCACACATAATAAGTAGTAGTAGTAGTAGCGGTCGCCAGTTGGGCTCAGTGGTGTTGAGCGAGTCAGTCGATGTCGGATATTGAAGTATCAACCATCACAACTAGATTGCTGCGTCATTAACTTTTATTTCAAGTTCCTAACGTTTTGTACGTCGAACCTAATTTAGGACGACATTGAAATACAAGCCTCCACTGTGAAAACTACTCTATATAACAATAATAGAGAGAGAGAGAGAGAGAGAGAGAGAGAGAGAGAGAGAGAGAGAGAGAGAGAGAGAGAGAGAGTAATGGATAGCGGGGCACGGATTGAGGAATCAGAGAGCCGAGTTCGAATTCTGCTCGAATCCATTACATTCACTTACATGCTAATGTTTTGTAAAGGTATGAATCATCATCTCCCTCCAGCTATGGATAAATAGCAGGACAGACTGAAATCTATAGCCTTGGATGGCAACTGGTCTAGGAGAAGGACAACTCTGAATTCAAAACCTGCGGAGGGTCGTTTGGGGACCTTGTAGTGCACCAGGTCTCTGTATTCGGCCCTTCAAAAAGTGTGGTTGGTTCTGCAAAAACCTTTACCACTATAATCATATAATATGTGCTGGTGTCTGGGCTGTCGTTTCCTAGGAACTGAGCTGCTTGACTCTCATACGTCAAATACGACGGAAGAGTCTACCATTTATATATATCGAGCAAAAGTTTGACCAACTCGTCAGCTTGGAAACGACGGACAAGTCAGCTGCACGGTTACTAAATGATGTTAGCCCCTCAACATCGTCCTACCTACAGATATATGTCCCCGAGCACCGTGCGCTTCGACAACGCCGAAGAACTAATGTACCCGCTTCTTCGATGAATAATGTGTGAGTTGCGGGGAGACAGTCTACCCAGACAGGAGGTTGTCCCAGATCCACCGCCATCACCCACAATAATACATCAAACCCATGCTTCATTTGGGCACACCCAGACTTGTCCAATTACCCACGGTAGGGGCTCAACCTTGTTCAAGTGGATCAGATATTAAAACTACTCAAGTACCCAGACGAGTACCTCGTGTCAATTAGTCATCGAATGCGAGGTATCACAGACAACCAATTTCATATAAAGGCCGTGTTCATGCATATAAGAATTGGCTTGAAGGAGACATGATAGGTGGTGTATGTGTCTGTTTTTTTTTTTACTTATTAGAATCTGCCCTGAAAGACCTACATCTGTTGCCACCTGAATTCTCAACCCAGATATCACGGATCAACTCGTTGAAGAGCACAAAGGAAAATGCACTGTGCAAATGCCCACGCAGAAAATCCATTCCAGCGATGCTTAATACCATCCCGTTTCTTCCGACGGAAACCAACAGGCACATATTGGAACGATGGGTACGTGAGCATTTCAAATCCAGCGCGTTTAATACATGCCCACACCAACCCTTATAGGGAAGCCATTGGACATTACCTTCGCCCCTGATCCGACGCCATCAGCAGTCCGCACACTGATCCCCATTAGAAGAAGAGAATGAAAGAAGATCTTGATCGAGACGTTGCATTGGGTATAATTGAACTCTGTTGCCAGTGGGAACTCCTACAACCTGGTGCTCATGGATGGTAGTCGCACCCCCCCCAAAAAAAAGACAGCTCCTCCAGATGCATTGTAAACTTACAAGAATTGAACTCTACCTCCATAAGAGAAACTTATCACAACTCGCCCGCATTTAATCAGGTCCCCATCGTGCTGGCTCAGATAAGGAAAACAATTTTAGATGCATGGAACATGTACCACAGCTTACCACTTTCCCCAGCCGCACAAGATGCCACATTTATCCCTGAATAGATTCGGCACAGGTATTTTCGTGCTCTCTGGAGATTCCACGCGTCTAGAGATGGATATACCCGTCGACTCGACAATATTACTGTGGATATGGTTAAAAAAAACCTGTTGCATTGACGACAGCCTCCTTTGGGAATATTCTATAGAGTTCTCGTGCTGGCACATTATGGAATATATAACTGTTGTGGCTTTGTTAGGGCCAGAAATAAAGACACAAAGAGAGGAATTGAGTTAAATAAATATATTAACAGAAACAGTAATACAAACATTTACAAACGAGAGTGTTACAGCAAGAATATTCGGTCCGATGGTCAGAGCTGATTGCTGGAGACATCCCTCTCCAAAAGGCAGTACCTGCTCCTATTTATAGTTGGTAGAGTCCATGCGTGCGTGGGTAAATTGCCATAACAATAACCCGCTGTGGGAAGAATGGGATCGTGTTTAACCCTGAAAAATTCCTTTATGTAGAGAATGATTTGGAGTTTACCAGGTTTTTAAGAACGGTCGATGGAGTGAAACAGCGAAGAAAATGATTGAGGTCATCCTTCACTGTCCTACCGCCACAAATATTACGGGCGTCGAATCCTGGTTTAGACGGGTGAATCAGGTATCTTATGCATTCTTGCAATCTGAGGCGATGGTATCTTCCGGGAATTACTCCGCTCGATGAACCGAAAATTTTATTGGGACGAAATGCTTGAGCAAGTTTTTGAGGAGTCGAAGCGGTTAATCATTCGGGAAATTGAGGACGGCATTATGATTTTCGAGATCTCAATAAAACGACATGCCTTCCAATAAAACAGGAATCAGTTACATTCTTTGTCAAAAAACACTGTAATTGCCCTTCCGAAACTAACCCAAATTGAGGGTCGCTGGAAAATTATTTTAGCCGGACCTCGCTTTACCAACGATGAAGAATCCTGCTATGCACCGGCCGAAGGTGAAGCCCTGGCACGTGTCTGTGTGCTAGAATCATGTCGGTGGTTTATATTGGGATGCCCAGATATGCAAGTGACTCTTGACCATTACTCACTCATAAAAAGGTTCTCAGATCGGGTCCTCGAGGACATAAAGAACCCACGTCTCTTTAATTTCAAGAAGTGTGCAATAATATAGAAATTCAGCATATAACATCTACCTGGAAAATTTAATGATGCACCCGAATCCGCATCCCAGAGCCCACCACGGATCGCATCAGAAGACTCGAAAAAATGTCTTGACTACAACTGATGCAGTCAAACCAATCGACAGTGCAATCAAGGCTGCATTTATGACGAGCATGGACCTTGTTTGAGGGCTATCACATGGAATAGGATCGTTGCCGCGACAGCCATTGATGAAGAATGTCGGACTCTGACGGAATATATACGGACAGGTTTCCCCAAATTACGCAATGACCTGTCGGTGATTTCTCGGTTTTTACCCTTGCCAGAGGAATCGTACTGCATCAAAGTAGTACCGATCAAAGAGAATGAGATTCTTATACCTAGACAACTCCGTGCGGGAGTACTTGAATCCCTACATTCGGCACAACAGGGTGTAAATAGCATGCTATCAAATGCGAGAAAAGGCCTATTTCGGCCTGGTTTGAATGCCAGGGTCCGACAGGCCAGAGCCTAATGCTAGATATGTAACTCTATCGCCACTTCACAGCCTAATTAGCACCTAATGCTGCTGACTTACTTTGAATTCCCGTTTCAACAAACCATGATTGATGTTTTCGATTTACACGGTAGAAATTATGTTACATAATAGAGATCGGTACACTGTTTGGGTGGAAGTGGCCCTAATGTCATCTGGGAAGGCCAGGGCAGTATGTGACACCCTGATAACTTGGTTACGAATATATGGTGCACTTGAAGAAATTTCTTCCGACGGACGACCATCTTTTGATTCCCAACTCGTTACTCGGGAATACGGAAACGTACTTCGTCTACTTGCAACCCATAATGCAATGGCCGGGCAGAACTGGCCGTCAAAACAGCTAAGCCGTTACTCGCAGACAATACGAAAAGTGGTCGGCTGTGTCATGATCGTGCAGCCCGTGCTTTACTGACCCAACGCAAAACTCCCGCCCAAGATCTTGGCATGTCTCCTGCTATGACGTTATACGGTCTTGTTATCAAAGACCACCCCCACCCTGTCCTACGGGACAAATACCAGATTCGTCAATAGTAGAGACAAATTGGTGAACTGAGAGCCAGCAATGGCTAAAAGGCACATGGGAAACGAACACTTTTACAATGAATATAGTCGCCCACTTCGAGAATTACAAATTGGCGATTCTGTTCAGATCCAGAATCAAGATGGCCCTTACCCTTGTCGGTGGACGAAAACAGGGAGAATCGCGGAGATACTCGGTAACCGGTAATACCGTGTGCGGGTGGATGGAAGCAATTGAGTTACCGCTGCTTCCTCCGTAAGATCCACCCAGTTGTTG